GCTGGTGGGTCCAGCGGAGTGAGGCACCGCCCAGATCTGAGCTGGACCTCGCCGTCCAGGGGGGGCTGCGATCTGCGAAACTGTCTCCAGGTCCAGCGGAGTGAGGCACCGCGCAGATCTGAGCGGGACCCTCGCCGGCCTTGGGGGGATGCGTCTGCCAATTGTCGCCTCATTTTCGAGGGCTGCTGGTGGGTCCAGCGGAGTGAGGCACCGCGCAGATCTGACGGACAATGTCCGTCCCTGGGGGGGGCTGCGATCAGCCGAAAACTGCGCCAACTATCCGAGGGCTGCTTGTGGGGGTCCAGCGTATGGCATTTTTTCGGGCGCCCGCTGACCTCGAGCCGTCCCTGGGGGCTGCGATCTGCGAAACTGTCTTGGGTCCAGCGGAGTGAGGCACCACGGGGACTCAGATTAGACCTCGCCATCTCTGGGGGGCTGCGATCTGTGAAACGGTCGCCACTCTCGAGGGCTGCTGGTTGGTCCAGCGGAGTGAGGCACCACGGGGACTCAGATTAGACCTCGCCATCTCTGGGGGGTTGCGATCTGTGAAACTGTCGCCACTTTCGAGGCTGCTGGTGGGTCCAGCGGAGTGAGGCACCACGGGGACTCAGATTAGACCTCGCCACCCCTGGGCGGCTGCGATCTGTGAAACTGTCGCCACTTTCGAGGGCTGCTGGTGGGTCCAGCGGAGTGAGGCACCCGCCCAAGCTGAGCTGGACCTCGCCGTACAGTGGGACTGCGATCTGCGAATACTGTCTCCAGGTCAGCGAGTGAGGCACCGCGCAGATCTGATCGGGAACCTCGCCGTCCTTGGGGGTTGCGATCTGCGAAATTGTCGCCATTTTCGAGGGCTGCTGTGAGTGGTGGGGGGGGGGGGGTCCAGCGAGTGAGGCACCGCGTAGATTCTGACTGGACCTCTCGCCGCCCTGGGATGCTGGCGATCAGCGAAACCAGTCCTTGCTTCGAGGGCTGCTGGTGGTCCAGCGGAGTGAGGCACCGCGCAGATCTGAGCGGGACATTGCCGTCCCTGGGGGGGGAGGCGCGATCTGCGAAACTGTCGCCACGTTCGAGGGCTGCTGGTGGGTCCAGCGGAGTGAGGCACCGCGCAAATCTGAGCGGGACCTCGCCGTCCCTGGGGGTTGCGATCTGCGAAATTGTCGCCCATTTTCGAGGGCTGCTGGTGGGTCCAGCGGAGTGAGGCACCGCGCAGATCTGAGCGGGACCTCGCCGTCCCTGGGATGCTGCGATCTGCGAATCTGTCGCCACTTTCGAGGGCTGCTGGTGGGTCCAGCGGAGTGAGGCACCGCGCAGATCTGAGCGGGAAACAATTGCGCCCTGGGGGGGGCTGCGACTGCGAAACTGTCGCCACTTTCGGAGGGGCTGCTGGTGGGTCCAGCGGAGTGAGGCACCGCCCAGACTGAGCTGGACCTCGCGTACAGGGGGGGCTGCGATCCTCGAAACTGTCTCCAGTCCAGAGGAGTGAGGCAACCGCGCAGATCTGAGCGGGACCTCGCCGTCCTTTGGGGGTTTGCGATCTGCGAAATATTGTCCCATTTTCGAGGCTGCTGTGGGTCCAGCGAGTGAGCACCGCGAGAAACTGAGCGACCTCGCCGTCCCTGGGAGGCTGCGATCTGCGAAACCGTCGCCACTTTCGAGGGCTGCTGGCGGGTTCAGCGGAGTGAGGCACCGCGCAGAACTGAGCGGGACCTCGCCGTGCCTGGGGGGCTGCGATCTGCGAAACCGTCGCCACTTTCGAGGGCTGCTGGTGGGTCCAGCGGAGTGAGGCACCGCGCAGATCAGAGCGGGACCTCGCCGTCCCTGGGGGGCTGCGATCTGCGACGCTGTCGCCACTTTCGAGGGCTGCTGGTGGGTCAAGCGGAGTGAGGTACCGCGCAGATCAGAGCGGGACCTCGCCGTCTTTGGGCGGCTGCGATCTGCGAAACCGTCGCCACTTTCGAGGGCTGCTGGTGGGTCCAGCGGAGTGAGGCACCGCGCGACCTCGAGCGGGACATCTGCCGTCCCTGGGGGGGGCGCGATCTGCGAATCTGTCCGCACTTTCCACTTTCGAGGCTGCTGGTGGGTCCAGCGGAGTGAGGCACCGCGCAGATCTGAGCGGGACCTCGCCGTCCCTGGGGGGCTGCGATCTGCGAAACCGTCGCCACTTTCGAGAGCTGCTGGTGAGTCCAGCGGAGTGAGGCACCGCGCAGATCTGAGCTAGGCTTCGCCGTCCTTGGGAGTGAGGCACTGCGCAGATCTGAGCGGGACCTCGCCGTCCCTGGGGTGCTGCGAGCTGCGAGACTGTCGCCACTTTCGAGGGCTGCTGATGGGTCCAGCGGAGTGAGGCACCGCGCAGATCTGAGCGGGACCTCGCAGCCCTTGGGGGACTGTGATCTGCGAATCTGTCGCCACTTTCGAGGGCTGCTGGTGGTCCAGCGGGGTGAGGCACCGCGCAGATCTGAGCGAGACCTCGCCGTCCCTGTGGGGATATGGGGTGTGGGGGGGGCTGCGATCTGCGAGACTGTCGCCACTTTCGAGGGCTGCTGGTGGTCCAGCGGAGTGAGGCACCGCGCAGATCTGAGCGAGACCCCGCCGTCCCCGGGGGGCTGCGATCTGCGAAACTGTCGCCACGTTCGAGGGTTGCTGGTGGGTCCAGCGGAGTGAGGCACCGCGCAGATCTGAACGGGACCTCGCCGTCCCTGGGATGCTGCGATCTGCGAAACCGTCGCTACTTTCGAGGGCTGCTGGTGGGTCCAGCGGAGTGAGGAACCGCGCAGATCTGAGCTAGACCTCGCCGTCCCTGGGGGGCTGCGATCTGCGAAGCTGTCGCCACTTTCGGGGGCTGCTGGTGGGTCCAGCGGGGTGAGGCAATGCGCAGATCTGAGCGGGACCTCGCCGTCCCTGGGATGCTGCGATCTGCGAAACGGTCGCAACGTTCGAGGGCTGCTGTTGGGTCCAGCGGAGTGAGGCACCGCGCAGATCTGAGCGGGACATTGCCGTCCCTGGGGGGGCCGCGATCTGCGAATCTGTCGCCACTTTCGAGGGCTGCTGGTGGGTCCAGCGGAGTGAGGCACCGCGCAGATCTGAGCGCGACCTCGTCGTCCTTGGGGGGGGGTGCGATCTGCGAAGCTGTCGCCACTTTCGAAGGCTGGTGGCGGGTCCAGCGGAGTGAGGCACCACGCAGATCTGAGCCAGACCTCGCAATCACTTGGTGGCTTTGAGCCTCACGAATGCCGCTCGCAGATGTAGACTTGCCCATGTCACGTCATCACCTCCGTAGAGCGTCTCCCAAGGTACTCATGCCCCGCATTGCGCATGGGGTTGGGTACGTCGCCAGGGTAACTTGTCCCAGGGCTCCTTCAATGGTTACGTACGGGGGTTCGGGCTCTAGTTAAGCTGGCACAAGCACTGCGAGCGCACGCGGAGCTGTCATATTCTCACAGAGGGAGAGCAACAGGAGGAGGAGGAGGAGGAGCGATGGGGGAGGGGGGCACAGATGGAGCCAGGGGAGGTGGGGAGGAGAGATGGAGGGAGGATGTGCGGGGAGAGACGGAGGAGAGAGAGAGAGAGAGAGGGAGAGCACGAGGGAAGGGGGAGAGATGTAGTGCGAGTGAGAAAGAGGGCGAGCAGAAGGGGGAGCGGGAGGAGGAAGAGCAGGACGAGGAGGACAACAAGGACGAAGGCGAGGATGATGATGCATGATGCGGGTGTTAATAGCGTGAGTGATTGTGATGATGGGGAGGGGGTGGATGGTTATGGTGATAACGGTAATGACAGTGATGATGCCGCTCCTGATATTGATGCTGCTGATGGTACTGATGACGGTGATGATGATGCTGATGCTGATGTGGATGATGATGGTGATGATGATGATGATGATGATGATGACCATGTTGATGATGCTGATGATGGTGATGATGATGCGGAGGATGCGGATGATGAAGATGATGATCATGGTGCTGATGACGATTATGATGACGATGTTATTAATGTTAATGCTGTGAATGATGTTAATCATGTTGATGATGCTGTTGATTTTGGTGCTGTTGTTGCTGTTGGTGTTGTTGTTGTCGTTGTTGGTGTTGTTCGCAATGATGATGTGGGCGACGATGAAGATGATGCTGCTGATGATGAGGACAATGGGACAGGGTGATGATGCCGACGACGAGTCGGACGACGACGACGAGTCGGACGACGATGAGTCGGCGGATCATTGGACGCAGATGCAGATGCTGCTGATGCTACTGATGCTGACGACGATAATATTGATGCTGCTGATAAGGACGGTGTTTATTGTGCTGCTGCTGCTGATGCTGATTATAATGACGATGATGATGATGATGACGATGATGATGATGCTGATGATGATGATGATGATGATGGTGAGGAAGATGGTGCTGCTGATGATGTTGCTGCAGATGATGATGATGGTGATGATGATGATGATGATGATGCTGATGATGATGATGATGATGACGACGACGACGACGACGATGCTGCTGCTGATGATGATGATGACGATGATGATGATGCTGCTGATGATGATGATGATGATGATGATGATGATGATGATGACGACGACGACGATGATGATGATGATGATGACGATGATGATGATGCTGATGATGATGATGATGATGGTGAGGAAGATGGTGCTGCTGATGATGTTGCTGCAGATGATGATGATGATGATGATGATGATGATGATGATGATGCTGATGATGATGATGATGATGATGATGATGATGATGATGATGATGATGATGATGATGATGATGATGATGATGATGATGATGATGATGCTGATGGATGATGATGATGATGCTGATGATGACGACGATGCTGCTGCTGATGATGATGCTGCTGATGATGATGCTGCTGATGCTGATGATGACGACGACGATGCTGCTGCTGCTGCTGATGATGATGATGACGATGATGATGATGATGATGATGATGATGATGATGATGATGATGATGATGATGCTGATGTGGAGTGGGAGGCTTACGAAACGCCCGGTTCGAGCGCGCAGACCTGCGGAGTGAATGGGCGCCGCACGAGGAGCGGCCCGCCCGCCTGCCCACGTCCTTTTTTGGCCAGCGCTCGGAGGCGCGCCCTCCCCCTCCCTCTATCGCTCCCTCCGCCTGCTTCGCCCCTCCTCCCTCCCTCTCTCTCTCCCTCCCTCCCTCCCTCCCTCCCTTCTCCTCCATCCCCTTCCCCCTCCCTTCTTCCTTCCCCCCCCCCTCCCTCCTCCTCGCTCCCCTCCCTTGCCTCCTCCTCCATCCTTTCCCTCACCTCCCCCCCCCTCTCCCTCCTCTCCTCCTCCTTCTCCTTCTCCTCCCTCCTCCCCCCAGCCCAGCCCATATACTCAGGTCCATGGCCCCCTGTGCACGCCCCGCACGTCAGCGGTTCCCCCCCCTGCCGCACACGAGCTTCGGGGGGGGCTCGACTCCATATTACACATTCCTTTTCACGGTGACTAGCATGTGGGTCACATTGTTCTGTACAACCCATTGATTGCATTCCGTTGGTTCTTGGCGGGCAGAAGAGATTTCCGAGAGTCTCGGGCTTTTTGACATCATCGTGTGCCCAGCGACTACCCAGAGACGGAAGTTGAAGCAGCCCGTTTTGATTCCCCACGCGCATTCGCATGAAGTCATCCAGTTCGGGCGGGAGAGAAGTAGACGCACGGACAATCATGCAGGTTGCGCAGTGCTGTTCTGAAAGAAGGCCATCAGGAGGCAGCATTTTGTTGAGATATTGCAGCCGCCAGGTAACATTGCAGGGAGGGGAGGATTTGTTCGTATCATGTCGGGGAAAAAACAGTGATAGTTGGCTACTTCCCACCCGTGTCAAACATGAGAGCTGACCGTTGGCGCCGGACATGCAACATACTGTCGTCATGGCTCTACCCATTCATTCAGACGGCCAAGCAGAGATCATTTGTGATTGTTTGATTGGATGCAGACTGACAGCTCGGGAGGAGTAGAGCTAGCTGGACAAGGGATATTCAATTCGGCAAACGACAACCGACACATCGGCCCCATGGCATGTGGAGATGAAGCGAGGTGTCGGCAGAGATCGAGAGGATCCTAGACATGGAAGATCTGGCAGTATTCGACTCCTTCTACCCCGTGGGCCCACCTACGTCGGATCTGAATCCCAGAGTGCGCCAGGACATATCATGGTGCCAGCAGCGGCGGTGCAGGCTAGGATAAGGCGTCGAACCTTAAATAATGTCATGAGAGAGCTGCAAGTGATACAAGACAGCAGGTCAGGAGATCATGCGCCACTGATGTGGGAACCACATTATCGTCTTGAGTCACCATGGGAGCTACGACGAGGTCCCCAGTGTGATAGAGATTGCATTTCAAATCTTCTAAAAGCACACCGCCACCCCACGAGCACCCATCTTGGCTGAAGCTGAACTTGTGTCGTATGAGACAAGCAGTGCGTGGTAACATCAGGCAGCCAGAATTGATCCTAATGTGCCGTGGCAAGTGCTGGTGGACGGTGTGAGGACGGCAGCTTTACCTGAGGCTTACAAGCCGTCGCGCAGAAGACTACCTCGAGGGCGCATAGAGCAAAAGACGGAAACACTTAACACAAGGAAGTGCGAGGAGATGGTGCTTCACAGAGACGGACCGACTTCACTTCAGACGGCTCGAACAAGAAATCCAAGCATCGAAGAAGAAGAAGAAGAAGCTGGACATCGAGTACATCGAGGGATTACCGCAATAAATTGAGGTACGCAGAGGAGCTGATGACACATGGAGTATATGGAGGACCATCTATGCTATCGTCAGAGCTTGACGGGGTGTGAGGAGACCATCAAGGCGTCGGCGAGAGATGGAGGATTCAGTGCACTTGTTCTGCAGACCTCGTCAGCGGCTGCTCAACCGAAACTCGACATATTGGCTGACGAGGGACCCGGTTTTATGGTGGTGGCCCTGCCTCTCTTGGTTATGGTGATTGGTTTCGCGCGCTGTCGCCGCTAAGGAGAGCTGCGAGGGGGAGCATTGCACCGGATCGCTCACTTCTTGCCGAGCTGTGGCGCGGGTCTCTTCAGCGCGCAACTCGAGAGATGACGAGAGAATGGCCGCGCGTGAACTTCATGAGTTGAAATGAAGCTCTCCGCGTGCAGAGACGCTTGCATGTTGCTTGCCCGAATTTTACGGATCGCCTTCGGCGTCCCTTCCGCCAGATCCATGCCGGTGACGCAGATCTCCAAGGGGGACCTCAAGGTGGGCACCAAGGCCATGCGTCTCATCCGCTGCTGACGCCCCTTCGGGAAAGCATGGTATCGAAGCCTTTTACTTCGGAGATGCCGAGGGCCCCTTCCGCCGCGCGCGCGCGGTTGCGCTGCGCATCGATGTCCGCAAAATGCTCGGATGTTTGCAAAATCATACAGCTGGCGATTGAAGGTCGGAGTCTCGAACTTGCACTTTGGGCAGGACGTGTCGAGTGCTTCCCCCTCCGCGTCGCGCGATGAGCTTGCCCGCGCGGCCATGGAGGTTGTGGGGCATCTCCAGGGTGGAGCTTTCCAGCGCCAGCGTCGCACGGAGGCGGTTTTCGAGGCTGGGGCGGGGGGGCAGACAGGGTCCTATCTGCCAACGCATGGGTCTGGAATGGGGGATGGGAGCGCTTGTGAGTTACGCGTTCGCCTCTTTCTCCGGCCAGGGGAACACTGGCTATATGGGCCGCTGGGATGCCCCGCGATGTGTCGCTCTGGTCGAACTCCCGTGTGCGTACCGCTGGTAAGAGCTGCCGGCATCATGGATGGCCTGCGCTGTCACAGACATAATGCACGACGTCTCGATGATGGACAATGCAGACGACGTGGAGGCTGAGTTGAAAGCGCAGGCCTCTAACGCGATCCTGGAGGAGGAGTTGGAAGGGGGAGAGGGGGTATGCGCGGAACAGGGGCAAGGAGGGCTGCCCACCTGTGATGGCGGGGCCGAGGGCATATACAGCCACCGGAGTGCTTCTTTCCAGTGCTGCGCAGGTACCTGGAGTCGTTTCGGCGGAGGGGGTGTACTTCGGAGGAATGGAACAAAGTGGGGTGGAGGGCGGAGATCAGGAGGGGGGCGGGGGGTGCGAGGGCGGCTTGGGGGAGGTTGGGAATACTTTCGTAGGTCACGCACTCGATCATAATATTAAGAATGGCCTTCCTGGGGGCGATCGCGAGCGTGGCCTACTCGGGCCTGGAAACGTACCTGCGCATTAATCAGGATTATCGTAGACTAGATGCCTTGATCATTGGTTTCGCCAGAGCTGAATTTGATCCAGAGGCCCCTCCAGGCACGCGGGCCAGTTGCAGATCGTTGTCCGAGGACCAGGTGATGGCGCGACTTTGGATAACCGACGCTCGAGGTGAACTGCTGCTGCGAAGATTGCGACAGTGGCAGCGCCTGGTTAGATATCCAGTGGGCGCTGGGCCCGAAGCCCCGTGGATCTGGTTCGGGATCGTGAGTGCCCCGGTGGCAGCAGGACGCTCCGACATGGCCCTGTTCTTGCTCCTCATGATGTCCATGTGCCTGAGGTCAGGGCAGCCGTTGTCCATGCAGCGCGCTTGGCTGACCCTTCCGACGGCGGGGGTTGGCGGCCTGGTGGTTTATGCTGGCGTGCCCGGAGAAGCTGGCGAGTCGGAGCAAGATCGGCGACGCCAGCGTCTCCATCCTCTGCGGCTCCCGTTGGGCTTTGTGGCGGGGGCTGGCGCGTCATCCAAGAGGGGCGCTTCACGGGCCTTTCTGGAAGTTCCACGACGTGGAGTTGCTGAAGAATTTCCGGGGGGCCGCTCGGTCCATCGGCGCGCCCGCCCAGTGCCTTGCCAGGCCTGGCGCTGGGGCCCGGGCATCGGTGCACCTCGCGGCCCGCGCGCGCTGGCCGAGATCAAGAAGCGCGGGCAGTGGCGGAGCGACGAGGGGGCGCTGCGCTACAGCGCGCCGCACGGGTCGCGGCCTGGCATCGCGAGCACCCCCTGGCCGTCCAGACCCATGCCTCCGAGTGCGAGCGACGAGCCGGGGGGATCATCTTCCGCGGGCGGGTCGCCCCGCTGCCTGCCGTGGAGACTCAAGCATGATCGACGCGTATTTCGCAGACACCTCCGCAGGCAAGGGCGGCGTAGCCAAGTCTATCCGCAGGTGTGGCTTCCAGGTGAGGCTGCGGGAAAACAAACCGCGGCGCTCATGGCGACCTCGCATTGCCTCGCGTGTCGGTTGCTATCGGTCACTCGAGAAGGCAGGCGCTAAGGAATCATGCTAGTTCCACCGTCTTCGTCTTTCGCTATCGCCCAGGCACGTCCGGCCTTGGGGGTTCGCTCAAGAAACGAGCTCCTAGCTGGCAATCGGAGTTTCTGTGCAAATCTCGGTTCGTAGCAAGGCTATCGTATTCAGGATCTTGGAGAACCTTCGTAGCAGCTATATGGTTCAGTGTCCTGGGCTGGTCAAGCTTTCCAGTCAATTCTATGTGCACGCAGTCGTTGCAGATTTTTGTCAAATCGGAACGCCTTAAGGGAAGCGCACTCGTTTTCTCTGTGCCCACTTCAACCCTGACGAGCTCACTCGGTTTGGTGTGCTCCATTGTGGACGCGGGGGGATGTGCTCCCGCGCGAACCGCCCCCCCCCCCCCATGTTCTCGAAGGCGCGTCCCCAGAAGGTATGAGATGGAATGTTATCGCCAAGACCTGCCCGCAAGCTCTGAATGTGGCCCTGGCTAAGTCACTTTCGTCCCTTCGGTGTGTCTTCTTCGTAGTTTGAGCGCGCATCCTGTTTTGGGGTGATACAGAAGTCCAAACCTTGCCACCTTTTGCGTAAAGGTGCAGCGACCCACTGGCCCAGCTTGGGTCGTGGGTCATCGCGATGATTTGGCGCTGTTCACGAGATTCAGTGCAGCAGACACCGGCCCCCGCCCTAAATCAGCACGGTGAGGATTGGGATAGTGATGTTGATGGTGATGATGAGGATCACGACGAATATGATGGTACTAGTGATGATGCTGGTGTTGCTGATGCTGATATTGCACACGCTGATGCTGATGCTGCTGCTGATCATGAGGATGGCGATACCGATGGCGGTGATGTCCACGATGGTGATGGTGATGGTGATGGTGATGGTGATGATGTTGCTGATGATGATGATGATGATGATGATGATGATGATGATGATGATGGTGACGATTCCGATGATGATGATGATGATGATGGTAATGGTAATGGTGGGGGCGATGGCTACCGTCATGAGAGTGATGCTGGTGACGATGATGCTGTTGACGATGATGGTGAGGATGACCATGATGATGGTGATGTTGACAGTGAATATGATGATGATGACGATGATGACGATGATGACGATGATGATGATGATGATGATGATGATGATGATGAGCGTGATTACAATAATAACGATTGTGATGCTGTTGATGGTGATGATGGTGATGGTGATCGTGATAATGGTGATGGTGATGGTGCTGGTGGTTGTGATTGTGCTGGTGATGGTGATGATGCTGCTGCTGCTGCTGCTGATGATGATGATGATGATGATGATGAGCTTGATTACAATAATAACGATTGTGATGCTGTTGATGGTGATGATGGTGATGGTGATCGTGATGATGGTGATGGTGATGGTGCTGGTGGTTGTGATGGTGCTGGTGATGGTGATGATGATGCTGCTGCTGATGCTGATGATGATGATGATGATGATGATGATGATGATGATGATGATGATGCCGATCATGATGGTGGTCGATGGTGGTGAAAATGGTGAGGAAGAGGTGAAGGAAGGGCCGAAGGCGAGAAGGGGGGCTGGGAGCGGGGCGTGCGTCTTTTCTGAGAAGCCCACGGCGCAGGAGGGGCAGTTCGGGCTCATCGAGTGCGGCGGGGTGTTGCATCACCTCGCCGACCCCGAGGTGGCGGGGTCCGCCGCTTCGGGCTGGTCGCCGCTGGCAGCTTCAGTTTGAGGAGGATTAGGGGTGGGGTGGGGTGCGTTTGGGCCGGACGGATTGGTTGCGATGTTTCGGACTTTTTCTGCGTCTGCTGCCACCCGGCAGCATCCCTAGGAGAGAGAGAGAGAGAGAGAGAGAGAGAAAGAGAGAGACAGAGAGAGAGAGAAAGACAGAGAGAGAGAGAGAGTAAAATAGAGATGTAGAGAAAGAGAGAGAGAGAGAGAGAATAAAACACATACATATGTAGAGAGAGAGAGAGAGAGAGTAAGAGAGGGAGAGGGATTTTTGGGGGGCATTTGTGCTCCAGTGGAGTGTCCCAGGGCGAAGCCAGGGTCGAACCCACCTGCAAATAGCCTGCGAGTGTGCCTCCATGTTGCCACCTTTTTTTTCGGTACCGGCCAGCAGGACTGGGATGGATTAGGTCGCGGGGCCGCGGCTGCGGCTGCGGCTGCTGTCGCGGTCGCGGTTGCGTCTGGGATATTGCGTTTGTTTCGCGGTGGTTCCCTTCTTCCAGCCGCAGCCGCGGCTTCGTTCGCAGCCCTGGCTTCGGCTGTGGCCGCGTCTGGGAGGAGGAAACTGTCGCTCCAGCTTCGGCCGCGGCTGCGGCTGCAGAAGGACGGCGACGACGAAGCGGAGCAGGAGAGAGGAGAAGGAACATCGAACATAAGGACCACAAACACAATAATAGGAGGCTGTCCAGACGACCGCGCCCCCCTTGCCGATGCCACCCTCAGGTGCCTCCTGTCTGAGTCGGCCCACTACGCCTGTTTGGAATTGAAGGAGGTGGAAGACGGCGTCCTGGAACATGCTTCCCCGCGCCGTGCACAGGAAATCCACAGCCTCTTCTGAAGCCACGTGATCCCCTAAAAATACGTCGGCAAATTGTGAGACCTTGGAGCTCATTGTATGCCTGTCGTTCTTGCCGCTCTATGGGCGGGTTTCTGCCACGTGTTTGGAACCACGGGGATCGTTGTGGCCGCGACGAGTGGTTGAATATCCTGGGCCCGCGTGGGCTTGCGTGTTCAGCCAGGGCCCGCAGAGTACACTCGGATCTTCGCCGTCGAGCGTGCTGATTCCGCACTGCCGTCCTTCCTCGGAAGCTGCCCCCCCCCTGCCGCCCCTTTTTTCGAGTGGAGTCTCACGCGAGAGCGTGCGCGACATGGCTGTGCTTCCCCCCCCCGTGGTCGAGAGTGCTGATTCCGCACTGCCGTCCTTCCTCGGAAGCCGCCCCCCCTTGCCGCTCCTCTTTTCGAGTGGAGTCTCACGCGAGAACGTGCGCGACACGGCTGTGCTCCCCCGCCACGTCCCCCGAGTGCTTTTCGGGCCCGTGTGCGTGCGGTGCGACCTCGCAGGAAAACTGCCGAGGGGACCAGATGCGGAGAGGAGAGATGCAGTGTGGAGCGTGTTTCTCTACTGCTTGGGGCATACGGGGCATTATAGCCCTCCCTATAACGTACCGCCCCTCCCCCCCCAGTGCGCTCCGGGCACTGCCGCCGTGCGCACGGCAGGGGGGAGGCGTTGCATTATCCCCCCCCCCTGGCCCCTCACCCCCCCCCCCGCTATAATGCCCAGTATCGCCGAAAATAAACAAACGCGCTCGTGTACAGCGGGGGTTCCTTGCCCTACCCCGAGGTCCGACGTCGTGGCGCACGCCACGCGGCGGGGAATCACGGGCGGAGCCCTCGACCCCATCTTCGGTGCGGGCCTTCTCGGGCCGACGAATCCTGATCCCCGAGGCACCCGCGGCGCGAGGCGGGGCACGGAGCACTCCAGGCCAGCCTCGGCCCTCCAGCCGCCAGGCCGCGTGGGCTCGCCTGGTGCCGCTCCTGGCGCCGGGCGGGGTGATGCTCGTGTCGCTGTACAGTCGCGCCGCCCGCCGGCCACTGAAGGTCCTGCGGGGAACGGCTGGTGGTGGTGGTGGTGGTGGTGCTGCTGCTGCTGCGAGAGAGAGAATGATATATATATATATATATATATATATATATATAGAGAGAGAGAGAGAGAGAGAGAGAGACAGAGTAAGAGGGAAAGAGGGAGAGAGGGAAAGAAGGGAGAGCAGGATGGAGGAGGCAGAGGAGGAGGCAGAGGAGGAGGAGGAGGAGGAGGAGGAGGAAGGAGGAGGAGGAGGAGGAGGGAGGAGGAGGAGGAGGAGGAGGAGGAGGAGGAGGAGGAGCATGAGGAGGACAGGAGAGGAGGGGAGGATGAGGAGAGGGGGAGGAGGAGGAGGGAGGAGGAGCGAGAGGAGGAGGAGGAGGAGGAGGAAGAAGAAGAAGAGAGCTGAGATGATAGGAGAGGAGGAGGAGGAGGAGGAGGAGGAGGAGGAGGAGGAGAGGAGGAGGCAGGAGCAGGAGCAGGAGGAGGAGAGGAGGAGGAGGAGGAGGAGGTGGAGGGCCTGTCCACTAGGAGGGCCTGTCCAGGAGTGCCTGTCCACTAGGAGCCTTGTGAGCACAGGGCTGCAGCGGACATTGCGAGTGAGGTAGTTGTTTCCGTGTCCGTGTACAAATCTCAACCACGCGGTGAGTGCTACATTCTCCTCGCCCCAGATACTGTGCGAGCTGGGCGCCGATTCTCCCGCATGTACACATAACGGTGGACTAGAGACTGTTTTTTTTAGGGTCGGGCGATAACCCAGGTTATCGGGCTTGCCCCCACCCCTAGGATAACCCAACCTTGCCGGTTGTGCAGGTCCGCGGGAGGGGGGACGCGGGCATATGCAGGGCTGCCCACAGCGCGAGGGTTAGGTCATCGGCCGGCCCCCTCCTCCCTCCCCCCCGGGATGACCCAGATGATCGCCAATTCAAAAAAAAACGGTCTCCTAGGGCCAGGGGTCCCCGGGCCAGAGCCTCGACTGGCGACTGGCGCGCTGGGGGTCCCGTCGAGCTAATCGGAGCCACTGGGTGTCTGGAGGGGCCCGCGAGCGGCGTCCAAGTCAGCCCACGACGGCTTTACAGAGGCTTACGAGAGCCCCAAGGCTGTCCAAGAGCGCTCCAAGACAGCCCGGGTGGGGGCCAAAGAGCTTCCCCTAGGGAGCCTCAACAAGAGGCCAAGTTTGTAGATTTCCTTTGCGGTTTTCGGAGGTTTTTAGTGTTCTCGCCTTTTCGGCCTCCTGACCGCCTACAGCGGCCCGAAGTGCCTTCCAAGTCGCCCCGAGACCGCCCCAAAGCCCTCCAAGGTGCCCAAGATAACCCAAGAAAGCCCCAATGCGGCCTATGAGAGCCCCCATGGGCCCCAGTAGGGCGTCCAAGATGGCCTTGAGGCAGCCCCAGAGCCCCCCAAGACGGCCCAAGAGGACCCCAAGACGGCCATGGCGGCCCGAGGGGCCTCCGAGTCGCCCCAATACGCCTAAGTGGCCCCCAAGAAGACCCCAAGAAGGCCCCAAGATAGCCCCACGATGGCAAAAGAGAGCCCTAAGGCGGCCCAAAACAGCCCCAGTAGGGTTTCCAACATGTCCCTGCTTCCCCAATAATCTTGCTTCCAGGATGCTCGCCCACGCCGATCCCGAACAGTTCGAAGAACCCCAATGAGGGCCCCTCGTCTCCCAAGAGTAGCCCCAAATTTCCGCAGGATCCTATTCATCTCCCCCAACAGGAGCGAGCGCGCAGTGCGCTCGAACGCTCGGGATGTGGAGGAGGGGAATGCAGCCAGTGGGTTGAAACACAAGAGGAGGGAGACGGGGGGGAGGAGAAGGGAGCCTACGGGACCTCTCTATCATCATTGCTACAATCTGCCGCCTCGAGGGATGAATGCTTTGATGGCGATTATAAGGATTATGAAGCCAAGGATAGAGAGGAACCCGCGGGAGGGGTGGAGGGGAGAGGTGGCGGCGGAATATGAGAAACGAGGGGACTGTATTTGGGAGCATGGAGTAAGATGGGGTGGATGATGAATGATGGAAAGGGAGAGAGAGAGAGAGAGAGAGAGAGAGAGAGAGAGAGAAGGAGAGAGAGAGAGAGCGAGAGAGAAGGAGAAAGAGGATCAGAGAAAGAGGAACACAAAAAACAGTGGAGGAGGTACCATGATGATACTGGGGAGGAGGAGAGGGCAATGAACAGAAGGACGGTGATGAGCATGGCGAGGTCGACGAGGGCCTTCGCTCTGGTGATCTGTGGCGATTGGGCTTTGAGATTTGACTCTGGCCCGTCTGTTGTTGAACCGCTGCTCCCGTCTGCGCCGCAATTCAATGTTCCAGAGTCTCCCCCCGGACCGGGTACCCTCTCGGGCCCCAGGGGCAACCGGGCCTTTTTCTAGATTCCAGGAGGTTCTTTGTGCCTCCAGAGGTTTCCACGGTGGCTTACAGTGACAACAATAAGCCGCCAGGACGGCCCTATATTGTTCAAGAGGTTCAACTTAGATGGCGCCGAGACGGCCCGAAGAGACCGCAAGAGCGCCCGCGAGAAGGCTTCGAGAGGCACAACTGAGGATTTTCTCAAGGTGTCGCATCGGTTTTTGAACCCTTCCCCCACGCAGTGCTTGCTCTTACGGGGTTCCTCCGTCGCCACCCCGTCGCCGTCTGGGCCTGCATTGGGTCTGGCGGCTGTGTGGCGGCCGTCGCCGCCCCCGACGCCGTCTGGGCTTGCGTTGCCTTGCACGGCTGGGCGTTTCCATGGATCTCATTGCATGGATTCGCATTGATTTGCATTGCCTTCTTTGGGTTGCTCTACTCAGCTTTACATTCCCTTGCATTGCTTTGAATTGCTTAGTCAACTTTTACATTGCCTTGCGTTGCGTTGCTTTTCATTGCTTGGCATTGATTTGCGCTGCTTCGTAGTTCCTTTCATTGGTTTGCATTGCTTTGCATTGCTTTGCATTCGTTTGATTCCCCCAGGCACGGCTTGCACCGAAGGGCTCTTACTTATCTTTCAGGGCAACTAGGCCCTAGTGGAGGTCCGGCCGGCTCGTCACCGCCCGGCGCCGCTTGCCACCACTGTCGCTGCCGGGCCCCGGCAGCGGTCTGGCCGGCTTGTCGCCTCCCGCCGCCGCAGTGCTTTGCATTGCGTTGCGTTGCGTTGCTTTGCGTTGTTTCGCATTGCTTCGCGTTGATTTGCATTGCTGTGCACTGCTTCGCATTGCTTTGCATTGCTTGGCATTGCTTCGCATGGCTTCGCATTCATTTGCATTGCTTTGCTTTACTTTGCATTGCTCTTCATTGCATTGTAGTGCTATGCGTTACTATGCATTGCCTTGCATTGCTCTGCGCTGCTGAGGACTGCTTTGCATGGCTTTGCATTGCTCTGCGTTGCTTTGCATTGCTGGGGATTGCTTTGCATTGCTTTGCGTTGCTCTGCGTTGCGTTGCTTTTCATTGCTTTGCGGGCATTGTATTGCCTTGCGTTGCTTTGAATTGCTTGGCATTGCTTTGCGATGCTGTGCGTTGCTTGGCATTGCTCTGCGCCGCATAGGCTGCACCACATGGATTGCGCCGCCTAGATTGCACCACTTTGGTTTCTAACAAAGAATTTTGGATCTTCCCCCCCCCCCCACACCCGGACTTAACGATTCGTATTGCAATTTGCATGGTTCTGCCCCATAGTTCATCCTGAGCATAAATTTTTACCATCCCAGGCAGGCCGGAGTTCGGTCTCCCGCTCATCCTCTGCAAGAAGTACTATTCGAGCGCATGCGTTTACCAAAAATCAGCAGTTTTCAACCGAATCATTTGCAACGTATGGGACGAAGTGCACGCGCGCGCGTCGTCACGCGCGCATGTCGAAATCTTTCAAACACTGATGCGTTCGCAAGGATTTTAAAATCGAGTGTCCAAGACGCATGTGAAAAGCACAGGGTTTTGCAACACGGATTTTCAAAAAAGCTTGTGCCCGCGCTCTTGCGAAGTCCTAGAAAGCCACAGGTTGTTCAACATGTTCAAAACGTGCTACCAAGCGGGCCTCTCGCGCGCGCATGTCGAATTCAGTTCGGGCGCCTGTGCGCGCGTGCTGTCGCAAGCATCCCTATCACAAAATCGGAAGAAGTTCGCACGCGCACGTCGTCGCGCGCGCATGCCAAAAATCCTTCAACAACCTTAGGTAGTGCAAGCACTTCAAAAACGAGTGGCCCGGAAGCTGATAAAACGCATAGTTTTGCAACATCAGGTTGCAAATAATTCGGCGCTCGCGGTCTTGCGGGTTCTTAAGGCAACCATCAAGATTCTCTTCACATTCTGCCAAGCGGGCCTTCCGCGCCGCATGTCAAACCCATTTGAACGCCATTGCCTGCGTGCTGGGGTGGGGGCATGATCCGTGTCAAATAGTTCCACGCGGGCCACTCGCGCGTGTCGGCCGCGCGCGCATGTCGAATTCCTTCCCAAACCTTCAAGTTGCTGGCGCGAGCATGCGCGAGCTAGCGAGGCCGCAGAGATGCACCAGCCAACATCACGCACTCATCGCAATCGCCGCCTCATAGATTTTGCAAACCAAGTTGCGGGTGGGTGGGTGGGATGATTGCGCGAACAGTGGAGTAGGCAATTCCTTGCGAACAGAAATTAATTCTCTTTTCTTACAAGAGAATAGATTCCCCCCGGGATTATCCTTTCCTATTCCTGCTGCACTTATGATTCTGCCCCATCGTACATCCTAAATATGAGTTCGTACAATCCCAGGCAGGCTGGTATCGACCCCCCCGTCATCTTCGTTTATCAAGCACCATGAGTTTTCAAGAATCCCCGGCAACGAATGGGACGAAGTGCACACGCGCGTGTCGTCGCGTGCGCATGTCATATTCCTTCGAAAACCTCGGGTTTCGTGAGGATTTCAAAATCGAGTGTCCACACCAGTTTTTCAATACAAAACAAAGTATCATGGTTCTACCTGGCTGATTTCCAACCAAAAATTCCGCGTGCGCGTTCTTGCCAGTTTTTCATAACACAATAGGTTTTGAACATTTTCAGAAACTGCTCCCACACGGGCTTCGCGCGCGTGCGCATGTCGGAATCGTTCGAACGCCCTTGCGCGCGTGCTGTCGCGAGAATCATTTGCAACACAAGTGGATGAAGTGCACACGCGCGCGTCGTCGCGCGCGCATGTCGGAATCTGTTGTCAAACATTCAGTTACGCAAGGATTCGAAAACCGAGTGTTTCGATACCATCTAAACTGCATATGGTTTTGCAACGCCATTTTTCAAAACAAACTTGCCTTCGCTCTCTGGCAAATCCTTAGAACATCCTTACATATGTGTGTATATATATATATGTCTTCAAAGTGTTATGGGATTCTGCCAAACGGGCTTCGCGCGCCACATGCCGAAATCATTCGAACGCCCTTGCGCGCGTGCTGGGGGGGGGGGCGCGATCCTCGTCAAGTAACACTGTGCGGGCCACTCTCGCGCGTCGGCCGTGCGCGCATGTCGAACTCCTTGAACAACCTTCATCACCGACGCGAGGACGCCGTCATCGTCGTCGGCGTGATCAGCATCGGCGCCGTCACTGGCCGTGCCGTCGTCGCTGTCCGCGTCGTCACCAGCATCTCTACTATCATCATCGTGTCTACTGTCGACGACGGTGCCATGATACCGGGCCCGCCCAAGTCGCCGACTCGCACAGAAGTGCCCGCTGGGATGAGCCGAGCGGTCAGCGCCACCGCGGCCGCGTCGGTCGGGCCAAACTAGCTGGCCGCTGCGCGCGCGTGCAGGCGCGGGTTGGCGCGGCCGCAGAGATGCACCAGCCAACGCCAAGCACCGCATGGGTTTTGCAAGCCAGGTTGCGGGGGTGGGTGGGTGGGATGTTTGCGCGAGCTCTGGGGGGGACAACTCATTGCGAACACCAGTTGATTCTCCTTCCGAAAAAAGGTTGGGATCCCCCCCTCCCCCGTGTTTGTCGGTGCATTTTTTCCTGTGCGTGGGTGCGTGTAGCAATTTACATATGATTCTTCCCCATCGTCCATCCTAAACATGAGCTCCGACCATCCCAGCCCGGCTGGTATCGACCCCCCCCCGCCATCCCTTGCAACAAACACAATGCGCGCACAGTTGTTTATCAAACATCATCACTTTCCAGGAATCCCGTGCAACAACTGAGACGAAGTGCACGCACGCGCATCGTCGCGCGCGCATGCCACAATCCTTCAAACAAGATTTCAGAATCGAGTGTCCAAACAACATATAAAAAACAATGTTTCGCAACATGGATTTCCCAAGAAAGCTTGCGCGCGCGCTCTTGCGAAATCGCAAGAACACCATCGATTTTCAGCATTTTCAGAAACTGCTCCCAAACGGGCTTCGCGCGTGCGCATGTCGAAATCGTTCGGGCGCCCTTGCGCGCGTGCTGGGGTGTCACGATCCGTGTCAAATAGTACCACGTGAGCCACCCTCGCGCGCGTCATCCGTGCGCGCATGTCGAACTCCTTCCGAAACCTTCATCACCGACGCGAGGACGCCGTCATCGTGTCGTCGGCGTGATCAACATCGGCGCCGTCACTGGCTGCCCCGTCGTCGCTGTCAGTATCGCCACCAACATCGCTACTATCATCATCATCGTGTCTGTGTTGCCCACGTTGCCATGATACCGCGCCCGCCCAAGTCGCCGACTCGCACAGAAGTGCCCGCTGGATGAGCCGAGGTCAGCGCCACCGCGCTCGCGTCGGTCGCGCCAAACTGGTTGGCCGGTGCGCGCGCGAGCATGCGCGGGCTGGCGCGGCCGCAGAGATGCACCAGCCAACACCCAGCACTCATCGCAGTCGCTTCCGCATGGGTTTTGCAAACCGAGTTGCGGGTGGGTGGGTGGGATGATTGCGCGAGAAGTGGAATTGACAACTTCAAGTTCGGCAACTGAATCACACCACTTGGATTCCACCACGCACGTTTCACGAAATCACTGTTTGGGGTCCGCGCTGGCGAACACCGATTGCTTGGTTGCCATGCTGGCTGTGAGGGCCCAGGCGGCCCCCCAAGTCGCGCTCCAGCACTGCCCAAAGTATCTCGTCCCTCTCCCTCTTTCCTCCCTCCTCCCCCCATCCCTCCTCCGTCTCTCCTCCTCCTCCTCCTCCTCCTCCTCCTCCTCCTCCTCCTCCCACTCCTCCTCCTCTTCCTCCTCCTCCTCCTCGTCGTCGTCCTCCTCCTCCTCTTCCTCCTTCTCCAGGAGGGCCCCACGATGCCCTAACAATTGCCCCGGAGGGGCGCAATCTTGCCCCAACGGGTGCCGACGCGGCCGGGGTAAAGGGCCCAGGACGGCTTGGACACGGCCGCGAGGGCCCCCCAACCCCCTCTCCCCCCCCATGGAGTGGATCTTGCCTTTTTTGCCGCCTGTTTCCCCTCGCGCCACCCAATGCTGCAAACAGTCGCAGTGAGCAGAGGTCCCGAGCAGACCCCCCGCTCCCCCCCCCTTTCCGCCCAATGTCGAAACGCTGATTAAAAGACGCTCACACGCCCCCCGAGCTCGACCCGCCCTTCCATGTGATCGCCACGCACGATATCATTCCACGCCTTAGCGTACCCATGGACGTTTTTGCTCACAGCTTGCCGTCGCTCATGTCAGTCCCGTCCCTGGAGATGTGCTGACACGTTGCGCCTGGGGGGTGCGACGTGGAAGTGCGCTCTACATGCGTCGGGCTTGGGACGTGTGAGAGAGGGAGAGGGAGAGAGAGAGAGAGAGAGAGAGAGAGAGAGAGAGAGAGAGAAAGAGAGAGAGAGAGAGAGAAATGTAGAGAGAGAGAGAGAGAGAGAGAGAGAAAGAGAGATAACTGGAGAGAGGGAGAGAGAGAGAGAGAGAGAAGGACATACATATAACAAAAACAGAGGGAGAGAGATAGCAAAAGAGAGAGAGAGAGAGAGAGAGAGAGCAAGAACATAAAGGGAAAGAGAGAGATAGAGATCGGTTCAGCAGGCGACGCCAGTTCTTGTTCGATTCGGTGAGGGTTCGCAGTCGGTTTGGGAGGAAGTCTTCTTTTTCAGAGCGACGCATGACGTCTGCCCAACAGCATGCGCTGTCAATGTCGGATGGCATATGCTGTTTGACGTCGTTCCGATCGATGTCGTCATCGCTTGGGGCGCGCTGGTCGAACGTGGGCCAGCGGGGGTGGTAGAGCGGATGGCGAAGAGGCCCTGCGTGCGGACGTGCTCCTCGAGATCTTCCCAGCCAGCCGCAACGAGGTGGCGGGGCCGGCTGGCGAGATCGACGACGACGCGTTGCGCTCTTTCCGGCAAGGGCTGCTGGTGGCAACCTCAGTTTGCCGACGAAGTTTCTACACACAGTAGGTTCGTGTCGTGTCGACGCGACAGGACGACAGCGCGGGCGTTCAAGGTTGAACGCCTCTTGTGGCCCTAAATTGGCCGTTTCGGATATGGAGCGATCTGTGTTAAAGCAGAGCTGTTGTCTTTCAAGTTTGAAACGATCCACCCGGTGTCAGAAACCAGCGCACGAGTCGTCACGACATGAACCTGCAGTTAGCTACTCCAAGTTCTCGTTCGCACTGTCCCAATCTGCACGGCGCTCTGAAGCTATCCCAGGGCTCCCGTGCTGCCTGTTCGTACCCCTCGGTTTTGACAGGGGGGTTGCTCGACGCCGTCCTGTTGAAGCACCCTGTTGGGGAGGATCACTGAACGAATGAGATGGCAGGTTTTTTTGGGGAGCGACGTCGAGTAAGCCAGAGCTGTTGCTCGCCCCTTCGTGTCGGAGAGCCGCGGGCGAGTGAGCGTGCCCGTAGTGTGTTTTCGTTCTACCAGCGGAAGGACTTCGCCGCTGCGCCGCTGTGTGAGCTCCCAGATTGAAGACAGGCGTTCCCGCGCCCTTCCTCCTCGCCCACTCCTTTCCTCGACTACACGTAAGAGTGACCCTTCGCTGGAGTGACCTTTGGTGCGGGCTCACCGCGGCCCCCCCGATCGCTGAGCGCGATGCGATAGTAGTGGCTGTTTGCGCGCTCGTGTGTGGGCCCCCCGCGGCCCCCCAAACGCCGCGCACCAAAAGGTCACTCGTACCCAGAGTCACTCCTGCGTGTAGCCGATGTCCGCTCCATTCCTTACCAGTGGCCCTCGCCCTCGTCCTCCCCCTCCCCCTCGCTTCTCCTGCCCCCGTCTATACATACACCAGTGGAGCCAGGACCCCACTACAAGCTGATCAGTTAAGCTCAAGGGAGGAAAAGCCCCTCAGACCAGACAACTGGCGTTTACTAAACGGCCCTGGGCTTTTACTAAAAACAGCCCTGCCCTGTCCGATTCTTTTTTGGGGGGCGCGTTTACCTAGAGGCCTCGCGTGTCGGGGTGGTTATCATCGGGGTGGATTCTCTGCCCTCGACAAGCGCTCTTTGTGAGCCTCCGGGTGTGCTCGGGGGAAGCGGTGCAGGCCCTGCGGTCACCCAGGCCGCAGGCGAAGAGTACCAGGGTCGGCCCTCGGCCGGCCGGCCGTCGCTCGAGGGCCCCGTACCGCCACGGGAGACCTGATGATGCAAGTCGGGCGTAGACGTTGTTCATTTCGAGTTCGTCGTCAGTTCCTTGGTTTTTTGGGGGCCGAGATCCTTTCATTTTTACTTGTTCCATCCTGGGCCTCTTCCTGGCCACTAGGGGGCCAGGAACAGTTAGAAACGGGCACGATTAGAAATGAGCACGATTAGAAATGAACGACGTGTATATCAGCCACGCGCAGAGAGCCCGAGGGACAGAAGAGAGCCCGAAGGCAGCCCCCAAAAGAGGCCAAGAGGCCCCCCCAAAGGAGCCCAGCAGTGTGAGGGAACTCGGAGAGATGCGGAGCCACACCCCCGAGATGGCCCCGGAGAACGCCTCCTGGCCCCCAAGGGGCCCCCAGCTGCCCCCAGCAGACAGGGGAAGGTTTTTTCGGCCAAACGCAGAGGGGGGTGGGGGGAGGGGAAGGGCTTTTTAGAAGCAGCCCTGCTTCTTAGCAGGCGCGGGCCTCATCTATAGGTGTGAGGCCGGCGCCTTCTAAGAAACAGCCTCCTGCTAAGAAGCCCTCCCCCCTCCCTCCACCCCCTTGTGCGCGCCGCCAAGTATAGCGGTATGCGAGTAAGAACGTCGCGTAAATGGTGCGAATCAGGCCTCCCTTGCACGCATCCAGACCGGTTGCGTCTGGGCAAAGTGTGCCGTCTGATCAGATTGTCTTGGCCTCCCCTTCAGCGTCGTCTCGTGGAGTGACGGTGCCGATGCAAGTCAAGAGTGGATCCATTCATCCATCTGCTGTCTTGAGAAGTGAGCAGGCGCAGCTGCATTCATGTCCAGACGTTTGTTCCCAACCCTCCTGGGTGTTGAATCCGCAGCGAAACGCTCCACCTCCAACCTCCTCCTGCCTCCGCCTCTCCCTTCTCTCCTTGCCTCTGCTCTGGGTATCCCCCTTCCCTCCTTGCCTCTGCCGTCCGCATGTCCATTTCGGAAGACCCCTCACACGTATCGTGGCCTTTGTAGGAAGCTCTACCGAAGGTCCTGGCGGCAGGGCCCGCGTGGTGCCACCGCTTCATGCCGGGACATCGCTCACACGTTTCGTGGTCCCAGAGTGTGCTCCACCGAAGGCGCAAGAGGCAGGGTCCGCATGGCGCCACCGCACCCATTTCGGCACACCCGTCACACGTTTCGTGCTCCATATTTTTCCAACACCACACCGAAGCCCGAACAACAACCGAAAGAGAAACGCATGGTGTTGCGTCCCAATCGCATGGCTGCTGTTTCGCTTACTTTTTATTCTAATGTTTAATATATACACATACATAATAGATGTGTACATACGTATATGTACACATATATGTATATATATATACGCACAGTATTGCAGTATGCCCTGCGGCGAAACCACCTTAGGTTTTCACTCCTTGAGCTTAATGTCGATATAGAACATGGAGTGGAGAATGGTGAGAGGCGTTCCGCCCTGGACATTATCGGAACATGCTGGGCTTGGCCTCTGGCTTGGATTGGTTCGGCTTGGTTTGGCAGGGTGACCTGCCTGAGACATCGTCAGGATTTGCTTATTACCGTTTTCGCGTGAGACGTCCTCGCAATTTGCCTCGTTTGACTTGGTTTGGGTGCGGTTTCGCCTGATGCATCCTCACGATTTGCCTGGTTGGGCCTTGTTTGGGCACGGCTTCGCCTGAGACCTCCTTGCGATTTGCCTGGTACGGTGTAGCTCGATGGTGCAATCTATGTGGTGCAAGCTATGTGGTGTAAGCCAGGTGGTGCAAACTCACATCACCTCGCCCTCACTAACACGTGACTGGCCCAGAAGCAGCGCCCCAGCGGCAGCCCCCGCATGGTGGCACCGCATTTCTTTTGGCACACCCCTCACACGCTTCGTGGTCGCATAGGCAGCTCCACCGAAGACGCCAGTGGCAGCGCCCGCATAGCGGCAGCACCCCATCTCGGCACACCCCTCACACGTTTCGTGGCCCCACAGGAAGCTGCACCGAAGGGGCCCGCATGGCGGCACAGCCTAATTGTTGCACAGCCCTCACACGCTTCGTGGCCGCACACGGAGGTCAACGCAAGGCGCCAGGCAGCGCGCGCATGGCGGCACCGCCCCATGTTTGCACACCGCTCACGCGTTTCGTTGCCCCGTAGGGGGCTCCAGCGAAGACCCCAGTGGCAGCGTCCGCACGGCGGCCGCGCTTTCTTTTGGCACACCTCTCACACGTTTCGTACCCCCATGGAGAGGCCCACCGAAGGCGCCAATGGCAGCGCCCGCATGGCGGTGCGGCTCCATGATTTTCGGGGCGCGTTGTCATGGCTCCTCCAGAAGTTAGTTGTGATTCCAGAGTTGGCACAGAAGCTTACCAGGGGCGCTGCCTGAGGGACAGTGGGACCTTGCTGCAGTTTGCCCTAGCAGGTTCCTGAGGTAGGCCTGGATTCTCTCTCTTGGCGTGCTGCCGGAGCCCCTGCCCCTGCTCGTCCATACGCTTACCAGCTTCTGTTTATCTGGGCCCAGGATGGCCCTGGCAGTGTATACTTTTTTACATCGCATCGCGGCAGAGGCAGTGCGCGCGCGCGCTCGGGCAAGCCGGGCGACGGCGTTGTGAATTGCCCGGATGCAAGAGGGGGGAAGAGAGGGGAAGAGAGGAGCGGCTGCGGGAGGAGGGGAAGGAACGAAAGCGCGCACGCAGCGGGGACCGCAGCAGGGCGCCCTGGGCGGCCAAGTCCTGGTGTTAAGTCGGGCCTGTCCCTCTATAGGAGGAGTACTCAAAAATAGTGAAAAATAGTACGGGGACAATTTTTTGACGATTTTTGAGAGCATTTTTGTAGTATTTTCTGGTATTTTTATTTTTTCGCTCAAAATCCCCCTGTAGGGGGACAGGCCCGACCTAAGCCTGGTGGCGTACACATGCCTTCTGCCTACTTGGGTCTGCTGGCCGAGGCTCGCACGTGGGCCACGAGCCCGGACCTGCACGCGCTGGCGCTGTCGCCGGACCTGCACAGCCTCGCCCGCCAGCGCCTCAGGCGCGCCGGGCTGGCCGGCCGAGGGCTCGAGAGCGCCCGCAGTTCTGTGCCAAGCCGCCAGGGCCTCCCTGGAGGGTTTCTCCGAAGGGCTTAGGCGACCCGTCCTCCTCCTCCTCCTCCTCCTCCTCCTCCTCCATCTCCTCCTCCTCCTCCTCCTCCTCCTCCTCCTCCTCCTCCTCCTCCCCTCAAGCCATTGTGGGTCAGGCCTTCTTGGGGGGAGGCCCTACCTGCACGCGCGCACGCGAACCGTGTGTCGGTGCCCTGCGAGCGCAGGGCGGCCAGGCATACCCGCGGCTTGAGGGGCGCCCAGTCAGGGCGGCGGAAGTTGCGCGTGGACGGTCTCGGATGGCAAAGGGAGGGAACAATGCACGCCCTCGCTCGACCAGCCATGGCCGCAAGAACGAATATTTGGTTTGCCCTCACTGTCCTCGGTCTTGGGTCTTTGTTCACAGGGCAGGGAAAACAGGATGGGAAGGATGCCGTGAGTGTGGCCGTCTGTGGAAAGATCCTGCTCGGGCGATCGTCACCTTCGACTTGGGGGAGAACGACGTCGGCAACGGCCAACCATTGCGTTCCTGCCTCAAGGGGGGTAGTGCGGCCAAGGACCCAGTCGAAGGCGCTCTCATGCCCAAGTACCACAAGGCCAAGACTGAGGGGGACCAGGAGACCCAGGACAAGCTCTTGGCCGTCTGTCCATCACTTGCGGATTCGTGGAAGCCACCGCCTGAGGCCACGCCAGAGGAGCGCCTGGCCCAGAAGGCGCAGCTGCTGCGCCAACTCCAGGCTCAGCAGGGACGGCTCAAGAAGCAGCTTGTCGCTCAAAGACTTGCAGGACAAACTCAACGTCAACATCGATGACTGCCTGGCAACGCAGAAGACGATCGATGAGCTCGTGGGCAAGACCAAGACGGCAGCGCCGCAGTCGGAGGCACGCCAGGCTCAGCAGGCACAGCAAGCAGAAGAAGAAGATTTTCCAGAGCTCGATGCAGGAGAGTTGGCTTCCCTCGACGAGCCGACCAGGAAGACGCACAAGGAGGCCTCGGAGGCGCACAAGAAGGCCCGCAGCGTGCTCAAGAGCGCCACCGATGCAGGCAAAGCAGCACGTGAGGCAGCAGAGCGGCTCCGCAAAGTCCATGAATCAATCAAGCGGCGGCGTGGAGATGACGGCCTGGTAGCAGGAGCAGACGACAAGACATCCGAGGTGGAGGCCCAGCCAGCCTCCAAGGAGAAGGTCGACTTCACTGACGCAGCGGCCGTCGAACAATACATCGAGCAGACGGCGGCGCTACGAGCCAGGGCCAAGGGTGCCGCAAACAGTCCGTCACAGTGTTCTTGATGAAGCTGGCAGCGGCGGCCAGAAGAAGAGACCTACTAAGATGAAGAGCGGCCACGTTGACGTGTTGTTCGCCAATGTCACACACTATGGGGGGAAAGTGCGCCACTATGTGGAGCACTGCAGTTTTGATATGGTTGGTCTCGCAGAGCATCATCTACTGCAGAAGGCCGTTCAGCAGGATATCAAGAAGCTGCGCTACAAGTGGTGGCAGTCGCAGTTCACATGGGCTCCAGCTACACCGACGGGGAGAAGTACCTCAGGTACACACGGAGGGACGTGTTGGCTTGCCAGAGCAGGTCATGTCACGTCGGCGCACTTGCCCGACGGCGCGGGGCAGAGCGTCTTCCAGAAGGAGCTGCGCGACATCTCGATCATCCTCTGGCGTCTGAAGGGGGCGACGCTGGTGCTGATCTCAGTTTACTTGGAGTGCAGAGTGGGGTTAGACGATCCAGCCAACATCGCCAAGATGATACAACTTACACAAGTGGTGAGATCCCTGGGAGCACCATGGATTGCGCTGGGCGACTGGAGCGTCACACCGACAGACATGCAACATTCTCCTTGGTTGAAGGCTCTCAGGGGCGAACTTCTGATCCCCAATGACTGCGCCGTCACCTGCGCGACGGGCAAGGGAAGACTCATCGATTACGGGATCCTCTCGCGAGACTTTCGGCCATTTGTGAAGTTTTTTCAAACCAGTGAGAGACGTGCCATGGAGTCCTCGCGTCGGGCTGCATCTTCGGCTTCGCTCGACGTCGGCCTCGGTCAAGGTGCAGATGCCCATCCAGCCAGTGAAGATCGAGATTAACACCACGACGATGCACAAAGAAAAGGGACTCAAGCGGGCTCAACGTGATCGTGAGAAGTATCTGAAGATGACCGACTCCAACGACAATCACGGCGATGCAGCACAGCCAGGTGACCTACATCATGATGAGCATGCCCATCTACTGGAAGAGACTTATGCAGTCAAACAGAAGGAAGCGGCCAGTGATGAACATTGGCTCCAAGCTCTGACAGATACACGAGGCCGACCAGTTCAGGACCCTATTGATGAGGTTGCGGGCTCGTGGGCTTTCCGACTGGACCCTGAAGGTTCACAGAGGTTGGCCTATCATTTTGGAGAATGGTCAGTTACAGCAAAGCAGTCACTCTGTACCTTGACAGACACCAAGCCCAAGGGCACAGTGAGACGTGGGTGTAACCCGAAGTTCACCATGCGTAAGGTCACCATCCAGGAGAAGACTGACCCTTTCCTTGATGCGGCTACGAGAGAGAAGGCCAACCTGTGGGAAGCGTTGGCAGCACGTATGCGAGAACTTGCAGTGTTGAAAGCACGACAGAAGCAGCCCCAGGACGTCCAAGTGGTTGCCCATATCATCACGTCCTTGAGCGAGCGACTCGGACTACTAGAGTATGCCAAGGGCGGCGACAAGGATACTGAGACCGACAAGAGCGAAGACATCAGAGTGTTGCACAATGTTACCTCTTTCTTGGCTGGGTAAGGATGTCCTTCTCTGAGAAGCTACCCGACGACGAGACCTACTACGCAGTCCAGCCAGCAGCGAGCTGAACGTCGTCGTGCGCGGAGAGGTGCACCACCAATGGAGTCTACTATAGGGTGCAAGCCTGAGACGCTCCCAGCCTCGTCGCCTACCCCAGCTGGCGATCAGAACGAAATGAGGCCTCGAGAGGCCGAGGAAGGGGGCCTTGGGGCGGCGAAGGGAGAGGGAGTGGACAGTTCCAACCTCGACGGAGCGTTTTTTCCGTTGCGCCAGCCCTGGGGCCCCTGCGTCCTGGGCTGCCTTTGAGGAGGCCAGGGGTCCCACGGCCCGTCTGGGAGAACCCTTGCCAGGACCAGGCCAGAGTATGACTGAAGCTTCCGAAAACCAGAGCTGGCCACAAGATGGCAATCCAACTGCAGTTGCCCCTACCAGCATGGGCGACGACTTCGACCCCTTCGAGCAGATGGGCGCCGAGGCGGACGAACCCGACCAGGTGCAGCTGCAGCTGGAGGAGGAGGCGGCCATGCACATGACAACGGGTACGGCCAGTGCCTTAATGAGTTCGGCGCAGAGACCTACCACGACTGCAAATACGGCCAGTACAACATCGAGATTGCATACATCATCGGCACCACAGAAGGCGAACGCACAACCGTTGTCGGAGGAGGCCCTCCTCATATCAGAAGTTTACCGACGAGCCGCTCGGCATGCTACCTTGGCCTGGCGTGGCACGAAGGCAAATGTGCGGGCGTGGGCCAAGGCAGCCTCGGATAAGTCCATGAAAGGAGCCCATCGGTATCTGAGCTCTGAAGAACGCATCAACTTAAGTGACGGATGCGTTGGTCCTGGCGCCAAGCAGTGGGAGATGGACCCGCAGAAAGGAATTCAACTACGACGTCGCTAATGGGAGCGGCGGTGGACTGCACGCAGAGACTTCGCCAAGCAGGAGTTGCCCGTGGCCATGCGCGACCTGGAGCTCAAGGCTCAGGAGGACCTCACTTAGCGGCCTTTCCTCACGCGCGAGAGTCTGGACATGGCGCTGGGCAGCTTCCAGGCGGGCACAGGGCTAGGCGCCGACCAGTGGGCGCCAGACCAGCTGCGCGCGCTCAGCCCGTTGTGCAAAGATTCCTTCCTCCTCATCTGAATATGTGCGAGCGCCAGCTGACGTGGCCCCATCAGATCATGCAGATATGGTATGCTCTACCACCCAAACGGGACAAGCAGATAGCGGGGGAGGAGCGGCCCATCGGGCTGATGTCCACGACGATGAAAGTATGGGGGAATATGACCAAACATCGACTGACTGAGTGGTGTGATCGTAAAGCAGGGTTCTGGGATGCAGCAGTTCGGAAGGGTTCGGCGTTGCAGTCGGCGCTCGTCACCCTAGTCTTGGACGAAACCCGAGCCAATCTAGACGAAGCTAGCCAGGCCACGTTCTTGCAGGACTTAGAGAAGTTCGACGATCTGGTGGATTTAGGTATTCTAGCGGTGAGAGCGTCCGAGGTAGAGTACCCCCCCGTCGAGCTGTACATGTGCATCATGTCATACCTCTGCCCCAGACTTGTCAAGGCTAATAAGATCTTCAGCGACCTCATCGTGCCAGACAACGGGATGGTCCCAGGCTGCGGCAAGGCGAACCATGGAGCCCGTGCGCTACTATATCATGTTCTAGAAGAGGTTCACCTAGCTGTCCCGATAGCCAGGTTGAGACAGTTCGTGGACGACATCATGGTCAGGGTCGAGGGGCCCGAGGAGGTGGTAGGAGCGGCAGTGTCCAAAGCAGCAAGTGTACTGGTCGGGGGCTGCCTCAAGGCTCGGCTCAGGATCTCCAACAAGTCCACCATCCTGGCCCAGAACCCCAAGGACGCCCGCGAAGTTGAGAATGTCCTGGCCGAACTAAACATCAACATCAAGACTGACCAGACAATGAAGGACCTGGGGGCCGACAACACCATGGGGCAGCGCAGATCCAGGAACGCGGCTTCCAAAAGCAGTAGACTCGGCAGGATTCGGGCCACCAGGGCCGGTTTGTTTGCGGGTTTGGGGCGGGCCCGACGTAAGACAAGCAAGTTGTTGTACAATATGAATGTTCAGGCTAAGATGTCTTGCGATAGTCCCCTTTTTGGCCTCCCCCTCGCCGAAATCCGAAAGCGGAGAGCTCTGGCCGCGGACCTAACTGGTTTTGGAAAGAAAGGCCGATGCACGGCCACGGTCATGCTGCTGATGTATGAGGAAGGGGACCCCTGGGCTGCGTGCGTCAAGCGCCAGACCAAGGAGTGGTTGCAGTTCTGGGCCAACAACCCCTCCCTCAGACAGCAGGTGCGGCGGGGGTGGACGGCCACTAAGTTTAAGTTAGCAAGACTCAAACCCCGATCCCGATGGCGAGCAGTAACAGGGCCTATGGGGGCCATGCTGCTCACACTTCGGTCCCTGGGATGGGTTGGGGTTGAACCTGATGTTTGGGAGGACCCCGACGGTTGCGAATTGCGTTTCAACCCCGACCTATCCGACGAAGTAGGAGAAATTTGTGATGCGTTGGCCCAGTCTGTAATTCAAGGGTTGTGGAGACATGCGTCCCAACACACCGAAGGTGAATGCCTCAAGGACGGAGGTGATCTCACCGTGCTGCGTCTCAATGTTAAGCGTATGCACAGAGCATATATGTATCAGGAAGCTGGTGCCCTGGAGGGGATGGCACGTGCTACCATATGGAATGGAGATCGCCAGCGCCGCGCAGGTTATAAGACAGACGGGTTGTGTACTCGGTGTGATATAGGGGTTCCCGACACCACGCGCCACCGAACGTATGAGTGGCCCTGTCTGGCCCAGTTGGAGCACCCTTGGATTGCCAGAGCGGGACACTTATGCGAGCGTTCGATCCGCGACCTCGACCGCGGTGTGAATTCGTCTCTCTGGCTCCGAGGGATCGTTCCCCCAGCCTGAGATCCAGTCCCTCCCCCACCAGAATGGGAGGATGTCAGTGCCTGGCGTGTTAAAGCCGTCGATGCCCCACCCCCTGCCATCGGTCCCACTGGAGAGGTGATGCCAGCCCGCAGGCAGGAAGCGCGGATCGCTTTTCTGGATGGGTCAGGCACTTCCTCGGATCCGCGTGTTGCCCGTGTGGGGTGGGGCGTCTACCTCCAGTTGGGACCGACTGGCCCTCCCGCTCCTGGAGCCTCGGATCCCCCCCTCCCCTCCCAGGGTGGTTTGGGGAAACCGACGGCCGCCAGACCGTCCCAGCTGCAGAAGTGGCGGCCCTGTGGTGGTGCCTGCAGTTGACGACGGGGGATATCATAATATATACTGACAATCAAGCTGTGTTTGATGGGTGGCACGGAGGCAGAGTTGACGACCCAAGAGGGGCGCTCCGAGGCTGGTGGCAGAGAGTCCGAGCTGTGGCCCGAGTGCGCCCAGGCGTTGTCACCCTCCGTAAGTGCTACTCTCATCTCGATTCCAAGTCTCACCTCTTGTCCTCCCGATCCCCTCTTGTCTCACGTGGGAATGAAGTGGCTGGCGCCTGCGCCCAGAGAGGGGCGGGGGAGGCGGGAGCGGCCATCAGAGGCGAGGTGAGAGCCCTCGGCGTCGCTGACGCCTCCGCGACCCTCGCCCAGCAGCGCTTGGCAGCTGTGGCCATGGAGCTGGCGGCGCAGGACCGCGAGCTGTGTGCATGGACTCCCGAGGGGGGAGGGGGGGTTGCTTCCAGGCGGGCAGTCGAGCTTGAGCGTGCGTCGGGCCACGACCTGGGGCGTCTTTCCAGTGGGGCGTGGGTGTGCCGTCGGTGCCGTATTGGGCCGTCTCTGGGATCGTCCTTTCTGGATTGGCTCGGGCTCGATGAGAACTGCTGTAAGGGGGACCCCACCCAGCGGCACTTGAGCGATAATGATCATGTAGTGCTCGTCCCCCGTCCTGTCACCGAGGAGTTGTGGACTGCGAACAGGCAGGTCCACCCCTCCCATTGCGTGGCCATGCGCAATGGCCAGGTTTGGTGTTGGAGAATGCGCCAGCCTTGGAACCGTGGTGAACGGGGGGGGACGCATTTTGCTCTTGGCGGAGCCGTGCCGTGAATGGACCACCCCCCCGGGAGATAATTATTTGAGTCGAATGCGCAAGGGGCTCCCCCCAAAGGGCAACAAATGGCCCAATGAGAAGGGAGTGGGAGGCCTCCAAGTTGAGGCAGGCTCTAGTGTGATCAAGTCGTTTTTGAAGCACAAGACTCGGAGATAGGTTGCTATCGAGAGCCGCCCCCCGAGGGGGGGTGTAACTGTCCAGTTGTGGCCTCGCTGCTGACTGGCACCCTTCAGCATTCTCCCAGCATTCTCCTCCTCCTCCTCCTCCTCCTCCTCCTCCTCCTCCTCGGGTCGCCTGCGGCTCCGGGAGACCATTTTTTCCATTGCTTGGGGCATGACGGGCGTCATGGCCCCCGCGCCCCCCCCCCCCCCCTTTGACGTAACGCTCCCCCCCCAGTGCGTTCTGGGCACTGCCGCCGTGCGTATTGGGATCCGCGTCGGTGTCCGCATATGAATCCGCACAGGAATCTGGTCCGCCGTCGTCGTCGTCGACGTCGTCCTCGTCGTCGTGGCTCGTGGCTCGTGGCTCGTCGCTCGTCGCTCATCGTCGTCGTGCGCGCGGACGCGGCTGGAGCCTGTTTTTTTTTTTATTCCGGGCCGATGACGGCAATCATCTGGGGGGGTGGAGGGGGTCGATGACGTCACGCTTCGCGCCAGCGGCGCCTGGAAATGCAGAGGAATGACGGAGGACGGGTGGCACCAACGTGTAGGTGGCGATCTGCACCACAACGCCTGTGTACACCTCAGTGCCTGCGTGCACCACGGCGCCTGTGTACACCACACCGCCTATGTACACCACAGTAGCCGCGTGCAGCACAGCGTCAGTTTGTGCCACCGCGCGCGCGGGCACAACAGCTCTTGTGTACACCACAGCGCCTGCGTACACCACATCCGCCGTGTGCAACACAGCAGTGTACACCACAATGCCTGCGTGAATTGCAGTGCCTGTGTACACCACGTCGCTTGTGTGCACCACAGCAACCGTGTGCAACACAGCACCACTGTTGTATGTAGAACGTTAGAAGAAATCATTATGACAACATGGAACGTTTGTGGATTCCACCGAAAACACCACAACATAATCCGTGTGGACAAGGGAGCGCCAGGGGAATCTACGAGTCCTTCCGGATTCGCCCGCATCACCGTAACTCCTCCCATGTGTGTTCAGGAGGCTCCAGTTAAATTGGCCGTCCGAGAACCAAGTGGGCCGATTCAATAGACCATTCTGCGGTGCACGCTGAGTTGCGCACGTGCGCTGTAGCGCCAACCTGCACGACAGGGGGTAAGAGGAGGACGAGGAGGAGGAGGAGGAGGAGGAGGAGGAGGAGGAGGAGGAGGAGGAGGAGGAGGAGGAGGAGGAGGAGGAGGAGGAGGAGGAGGAGGAGGGAGGAGCAGGGGGAGAATGGAAGGAGGGAGAAGGGTAGGCTGTAGTGAGGAGAGGAAAGAGAGGAGGAGGAGGAGAGGAGGAGGAGGAGGAGGGGGAGGAGGAGGACGAGGAGGAGGAGGAGGAGGAGGAGGAGGAGGAGAAGGAAGAGAAAAATGGAGGAGGAGGAGGAGGAGGAGGTGGATATGGAGGAGAAGGGAAGAGAGAAAGACGTCGCATTCGATTATCAGCACTTTCCTGGCGTGGTGCTTCCGCAGCAGGCACTGTGGCAGCGCTGCGTTGCACGCGGATGCTGTGGTGTAGACAGGCGTTGTGGCGTGCACATGCGCCGCGGTGCACGCAAGCATTGTGGTGTACACAGGCGCTGTGTTGCACATGGTTGCCTCCGGTGTGCACATGTACACCGGCGCTGTGGTGTACGCAAGCATTGCAGTGTACACAGGCGCTTCGTTGCACACGGTTGTTGCGATGTACGTAGGCGCTGTGGTGTACACGCGCGCTGTGGTGCACGCGAGCGTTGTGGTGTACACAGGCGCAGGGGGGCAGATCGCGACCTACATGCTGCTCGCGTCGTTGTCGTCGTCGTCGTTGTCGTCGTTGTCGTCGTCGTCGTCGTCGTCGTCGCTTGTCGGTCGTCGCGTTGCAAGATCATCGACCTGGGATGGGATAGCCAGAGGGGTCCGGGCGTTCGCGGCGGCGAGCGCGGCGGCCACAAAAAGGGGGCAGGTTTTTGTTAAGGAGGGACATGGCTGCCAGGGGTCACGCGGCGGGTCATTCGGCCGTTGTCCGGTTCATTGGCAATCCTCACCATGTAGAGCACGTGGGGCACAGCGGGAGTCATCGGGCTCCCCCCGCCGCTTTTGAAGTGAGGGCGCGAGGGGTTGGGGGGGGATGAAGAGGGCGTGTGAAGGCAGTGATGAGGGTTATGATGGTAGGCGCCCCAGCCATTCACAGTCTGGCAAGTGCGCCCCAGGATGCGTTCGCTTCGAGTGGAACTCGCGCGCCAGGGTGGCAGCGCCCTGCGCGACCCGCCACCCGTTGCGTTGCGCAGCTGGTGCTTCCAGCGCAACAGGGGCGCAGGGCAATTGGGTCGCGCTCGCTCGTTCGAGCTGTCCGCCTCGGGCCCTGCCCAGCCCCCCGCGAAAGCCCCCTACTCATGCTCGTCGCGTCCCCCGCTCCGCCCCCCCCCCGCCAGGCCCAATTATTTCGTCGCGCGCTGCCCCCGGGCGCCCGAAAAGGTCCGCAATAGGGCAGGGGCAGTTGTGAATTCGCCCTCCGCGCATGCCACCCCATGCAAACAGGGGTCGCAATCCGCTTTTCGCGCGCGGGGGCGTGGCGCCCAGGCGCCGCGGGGCAATCCGAGCAGCTTCGTCGTTCCCAGCGCAGGCGGTCGCGGTCCAGGCGCAGCGGCCGCGAAACAGGGGCGATGTTGTTGTCAAGGGCGGGCGCCGGCGATAGGGTTCGCGCGGGGGGGCGGCGTTTGTTATTCATCGGCAACCCCCGCCGTGCAACGCGCGCGCGGGGCGCGGCGGGAGTCTGCGGCCCTTGGCGGCGCCCTGGAACGCGCGACATCGCGCGTTCGTTTGGTTGAGGACGTGCCGGGGATGCGGGGGCGGTGGGGATGGGGGGGAGGTGGGGTGGGGTGGGGTGGGGCGGGGCGGGGTGGGGTGGGGTGGTGCGTGCGTGTATGTGCGTGCGTGCGCGCGTGCGTGTGTGTGTGTGTGTGTGTGTGTGTGTGTGTGTGTGTGTGTGTGTGTGTGTGTGTGTGTGTGTGTGTGTGTGTGTGCGTGCGTGCGCGTGCGTGCGTGCGTGCGCGTGCGTGTGTGTGTGTGTGTATTGGGGGAGAATGGCGAGAAGGGTGCTCGACGTCGCGGCCGGGCCCCGTCGGGCAATCGCGCCGCGGCAAACGATCGTTTCGAGTGGAAGGCGCGCGTCAAGGCGGCACCCCCCCGTGCATGTGGCAAACTGCCCATTGTGCCGCGTCCCTTTTTCCAATGCAAATGGTTCGTGGGGCAATGGGGGGGGGCGCCTGCTCGCTCGAGCCGCATGTCTTGACCCTCGCCCCCCGCCCCCCCCCTTCTTTCCCCCCTTCAGAAAACAAACAAAACTTCATGCTCATGGTCGTCGTGCGTTCGCCCCGGCTCGAACTATCATGTTCGCTGCTTCAGGTGCTTCCCTGGGCCCGAAGGGGGGGGGGCAGGGGGGGCGGGCGGGTGGGCGGGGCGGGCGGGTGGAAGGGGGGGGATCACCCGTGAAATCAGGGGTCGCCGATTTCTGCCTTGCGCGCGGGACGCGGGGCTCTGGCATGCGGGCGTCGCAGAACGTCCACGTGGACATGTTCAGTCTATGTCGGCGCCCGAGGCTCTTGTGGGTCGACTTGAAGTCGCCCATGACAGGTTTGGTCGCGCGCCAGTTTCGTTCGGCGCCCCCCCCCCTCCCCCTGCTCAGTGCCCAACCGCATTTGGCGCATGTTCCTCGCCCCCACTTCCTCTTCATGCGCCCCTCCCCCCCTGCGCCGCCCGCGATTGCGGGGGCGGGGGCGGGCGGGGTTGGGCGCGAGAGTCATGGCCCGCGTCCCGGTTCGCTTTCGCGCTTCCCGCCCCCGCGCGGGGGCGCCGCCTCTGCGCTTTGGCGCTCGAGGCGCCCGGAGTTTCATAAAAAATGCACCGCCCCCCTTTTCCCTTCCCGATTCCGCCTCGGGGTGAGAATGAGGAGAAAGGGTCGGGACGAGGGGGGGGGGGGGGGGCGGCGGTGCAGGGCGGGGGGCGATGACAGCGAGGACGAGGCAAGGAATGACGTGAAAAAGGGGGGACGGTTCGAGCAGGAGTGAGACAGGGCGACGCCAGAGGCGAAAAAACAGAGCGGGGATTGACAGCGACAAGCGCCGGGGGGGGGGGAAGGGGGGGGGGGGGGGGGGGGCGGGATGGGGGCGGGGGCGACGCGGGCGACGAGCAGGGAATTCCAAACGCTTCGCGCGACGCCACCAGCTCATCCAGCAACGATGCCCAGACGAGTTGCACTGGTTAGGGAAAGAGGGGGGCGCGCAGAAGAACCAAAGGACCGCCGTGCTCCTTAAAAAGGGGGGGAAGGGGATCGGGGAAGGACGAGATGGAGGAGGTAGGGATGAGGGAGGGAAGGGGGGGGGGGGGCGGGGAAGTGCAGGGGGGCGAGGGAGGAAGTGGGAGGGGGGCTGAGGAGG